AAATGGGGAGCTGGTCCCTTCAAATGAACCTGCTTCTACAGATCAGGCTTGAGTAGAAGACACATGATAAGCTAAGGAAATGATGGAAAAGAATTAGATAAAACTACAAAGCCGTCACAAGAAACTGGCTTTGTGCCTCAGATGTTTTGCTTGAGAGGGTGGCTTTAATAATGGAAGAAGTGGTCTGACATGGTTCTTGGAGCTATTTTAGCATTTCTGAGTATTTGTATGGCAAAGCATATTCTTTTCATATTTATCTTCCACTGTGTCATAGTTGGACAGGTTTACCTAGAGCAGTGTTTTCCATAGGACTTACTCCATCTTTAAGGGTTTTGTGGAAACCTGTCTTTGTGGGGCTTCCATCAGAACCACCCAACTTGCCTGGTTCATACCTGAGAGGGGGAGTATGGATTTTGAAATGGCTGGTAAAGATGCTAAGAAAGAGACAGAGACACAGGATAGAGTCAGGAGGGCAACCCAGTGAATACTAAATGCTCCAAGTTTATTCTTCAATATTCTTAAGTACCCCAACCAAAAGGGGGGCATGGCAGAAGACTTCTATTATCATGTGTAAGGAGCAAACAGACTTTCTTCTCTTAGTCCTCCAAGCATTTGGTAACCACACCTGTTATCTGGCCTTGTGGGTCAAGAGTAACCACACCTCAGATCAAGTCCGTTGTTATTTAGATAAGATATGCTCCACCAAGATGTCCTGCAGTAGCCAAGCCTTAGACTTGACTTACTAAGGACAGTTTTGTACTCTATGACCTTGAGGCAAGATGAAGCAGAGCCATATTTATGAGCCTGACAGGTTTTAAATAATCTTAATTCTAGAGAGGAGTTCTCATGGTTTGTTTGGCATGGCAGTGATTATAGATAGGACTAGTATTTCACAACACCACACTTTGAGAATCACTGGCTCAGTGTCATCAAAACTTGTAGAGTGTGCTATGACTTTTGATCCCACTTAATTAATTGAGCTTTCCTATCAACCTGAACCTTCATCTCAGCACAGAGCAAACACACTATAAAGCTTCATTCTATACATATTGGAAAACAGAACTATCTTACTCAGTGCCTAATTTTTTTATATAAAAGAAAAGCATTTAATTGAGCCTGGCTTATAGTTTCAGTGGTTTAGTCTTTTATCAGTATGGTAGGAAGCATGGCAGCATCCTGGCAGACATAGAACTGGAGAAGGAGCTGGAAGTTCTACATCTGGATCTACAGGCAGCAGGAAGAGAGAGACACTGTGTCTGGGTTGAGCTTTTGAAACCCAGAGCCCGCTCCCAAGGCATACTTCCTCCAACAAAGCCACACCTACCTAACAAGGTCATACCTCCCCCCCTCAAGCAATGCCGCTCCCTGATGACCAAGCACTCTAACTTATGAGCCTATGTGGGCTATTTTTAGTCAAATCACTACAAAGACCCTTTGGTTGACTGATTAAAATAGACTTGGATTGGGGAATTAGAAACCTGGAGTCTAGTTCTGGTGTTTAGTAAATATGTAATACTGGGAGAGTAAGTCACATAATTTAAACAACTGGAGACTTAAGAGACAAGAATAAAATCATTATAAGGGACACTTGTGTCCATTTTAAGTAGTTAAACTGAACCTAGGACAAGCACTTCACCATTGAGCAAACATCCCTAGAGATATCAAAACATTTCTCTCTCTCTCTCTCTCTCTCTCTCTCTCTCTCTCTCTCTCTCTCTCTCTCGGGGGTTTGGTTTTTCGAGACGGCGTTTCTCTGTATAGCTTTGGAGCTCATTCTGGCACTTGCTCTGGAGACAAGGCTGGCCTCGAACTCACAGAGATCTGCCTTCCTCTGCCTCTCGAGTGCTGGGATTAAAGGCGTGTGTCACCAATGCCCGACAAAACATTTCTTAAAATGTAAGAACGCAGCCACATAGAGGAATACTCCCTGAGCCAAGACACATGGGGGTGGGCCTAGGCCCTATCCCAAAGGATACGATAGATTCTGATGACACCCTATGGAAGGCCTCACCATTCAGTGGGCGCAGAAAGGATATGTGATAAACCCTACGGTTTTAGTGTTGGGGGGGTGGGGGAGGACGGGAGGGAGAAGGGAACTGGGATTGTCATGTAAAACAATCTTGTTTCTAATTCAAATAAAAAAATCTGAAAATATAAATAAAAGAGACAAAATGTTTTTTCCATTTTGTCTCTTTTATTTATATTTTCAGATTTTTTTATTTGAATAAAATGTGCGAATGCAGTCACCACAGAGCCATCAAGCCCTTCCTGCCGTGAAGGACTGTATGCATTCAAACAGGTCTGAGCAACCTCCAATGACCAGGAATGGGCACTCTTTTATCAATCAGGCCAGCTTGCAGAGTGAAGGAACTATCTTCTACTTGGAACCAGGGAGCTCCTTTTGCCTGGAAACCTAAGGAAGCCAATAATCGGACTATAAAGATGCCAATGACACTATAGGGCCCAATGACGTGGAAGGAGACAGAGAAGGGAAGAAAACATCAGACTCGAGTTTGACGACCATCAGTTGCTAGGTCCAGCCTTAGAGTCTTCAAGCAAGTTTTTGGCACATTCTCATCCAAATTCACAGTATCCCGGTGGAAATAAAATGTGGTTCAGTCCAACTTCCTCGAACTTAGAAAGCTGCTGAATACCATATCATGCAGTAAGCAGTGAAAACACACTGTCTTCCTGGCGTTGGTGGCACACGCCTTTAATCCCAGCACTCAGGAGGCAGAGGCAGGCGGATCTCTGTGAGTTCAAGGCCAGCCTGGTCTCCAGGGGGGGTGGGTGCCAGGATAGGGTCCAAAGCTACACAGAGAAACCCTGTCTTGAAAAAACAAAAAAAAAAAAAAAAAAAAAAGAAAGAAAGAAAGAAGGAAAGAAAGAAAACACAGTCTTAGTGTTCTATTGTTGTGCAGAGACACCATGATGACAAGGACACTTTCTTATAAAAGAAAACATTTAATTGTGGGCTTGCTTGCAGTTTCAGAGGTTAGTCTATTATCATCATGACAGGGGGCACTACTGGAGAATATAGTTTAGAGTTCTATATCTGAATCCATAGGCAGAGAGGGTGGAGGGGAGGAGGGGCGGGGAATCTGGTGTGGGCTTTTGAAACCTCAAAGCCCAGCCCCAGGAACATGCTTCTTCCAACAAGACCACACCTCCAATCCTTTCAAATAACACAAATTCCTGGTGAGTATGCATTCAAATATATAAGCCCATAGGGGCCATTCTTACTCAGATCACCACACATACTATTTTGTTGTTTGCTTTAAAATAATTGTTAAATTGTGGAAATTATGAAATGTAAGACACAATCTTCACAGAATTGTAAGACTTTATGGTAGTTTCAAAATTTCCCTTAGAGTCAAAGACATTTCTATTTTATTTTAATCAATTCATTTACTTAATTATGTGTGTGTGTTGGGGGGGTTGTTATGTGTTCATGAGTGCAGGTGCCCTTGAAGGTCAGAAGCTGAGAATCCCCCAGAAGCTGGAGTTATAGGCAGTTGTGAGCCTTGTGATGGAGGGATTTCAAGCTTGAAATCCAAGATGAGGCCTCTGCAAGAGCAAGATACACTCTTAATTGCTGAGTCCTCTCATCAGCTCCTGTATTTCTCAAATAATTACTTTTATGTGTGTGTGTGTGTGTGTGTGTGTGTGTGTGTGAAAGGTTCAGGCTTTAATGCTGATGGGCTCTAACTCTTTAAGAGACATACTCTGCCCCTGACAACAGTCAGGGCACACACAGGAAAACATGCTGTGTCATCACCACATGACCACCACGCATTACGGCCTGCTGAGGACCCTGGGCATGATTGGATCCTCAGTGCGCATGCGCAGTATTTCCTTTAAAAGTTCTAACTTCCCTGCTGATCTCTCTCTACTCTCTCTCTGCTCCTGTTCTCTATCTCTTCTCCCATATACGTGCTTTCTCTCTCTGTCTATGGTGACCAGCTATGGCGGTCAGCCATTACCCCTGTTCCTCTTCTCTCTTAGTCTCCCTACTCTGCCGGGCCTTATAATAAACTGATTAATATGTCCTATAATAAACTGGTTAACATGTCTCATCTGCCTCTTTTCCTCTTTTTCTTCAAAAACATAACAGTGTGTGTCAAGCCTGAGCGCACATGGGTGTGCATGAGGTGAGGTAGTGCTCTTGGAGTACGGTTTGTGTCTGTGTGTTAGCACTCTTGGGAGCCAGAGGAGGGCATCAGATCCCTTGGAGCTGGCATTGCTGGCAGTCGTGAGCAGCCTGACATGGGGGCTGGGTTCTAAACTCTTTCTCTGCAAAAACAGAATATGCTCATAACTGCCAAGCCATCTCTCCAGCCCCCAAATGCCTTATTAAATGCAACATGATGGCTATATAAATGCATAAACTCCCTGTCACAGAGCTTCTTTGAGGTCACTTTAAGGAAAATAAATGACCAGTTTCTCATGCCTCTAATGTCATCACTGGGGAGACTGAGAGATGAGGGCCTGGAAAACTTGAGGCCACCCAGGCTATTGTATAAGATCCTGCCTCAAAAGGAAAACAAAATCAAAACCGAGAAAATAATCAAGAAGTGGGTAGAGTGCTTGATAGCTTGTATGAAGCCCTGGGTTCTATTCCCAGCACTTTGTTAAACTGAGCATGGTGGCTCATGCTGTATAATCCTAGCACTCGGGAGGTAGAGGTGACATGAGACCCTGTCACAAGCAAACAAAACCAAAACAAATGATTAGCGTTTTAAAAAATTGATTGACACATTATCCATGCTACTTACATATCCTGTTTACTATCGACTATAACATTTCAGGCTGTAAAGAACAGCTGTCTATAATGTCGGAGAAATGGACTTTACTCTGTGGGCAATCCTTCTAGACTACGGCTTTCCCCTCTTGGATTACCCAATCACTACAGAGCTCTGTTTTTCTCCGGTATTTAAAAGGCAGTCACAGCTGTGGCACTCAGGACAGTTTCTTTTTCCCTGACTAGAGGGAAGAAAGAACTTTATTGTTTTCTGGCTAAACAGGTTTACAGGGCTACAGGAACAATGGACTCCAGGCTAACCTTAGTTACGGAGGAGTCTGTTAAGAAAGGCAGTGTCAGGAAATACAAAATCCTTTGTGTGGTAAGTACAGCTGTTAATTTTAGCCTTACAAGCTTGGTGGCAGATGTGAGGTGCATGCCTCTCCGCTTGTGTTTGTTTGTGCTGCTATTTAGGTTACAATGTTAAGCAACTGTGCCCAGCTTTTTCCCTTCTGACTGTAATGCAAGTTAGCATTATTAATTACATTCTACCAGAACGTTGAATTACAGCTGGTTAGTGTATTCCGCTAGAAGACAGAAACTCTGCAAACACTTTGCACTGATTTTTTTCCACATGTTTGTAGTTAGAGCTCAAGCCAGTTTTGAATGACAAGAACATTGTCAGAGCAAGGCTATAGTGAACGAAATCATTATACCTTTTGAGGAACTGTGGATTTTATCAATACTTTATTCTATTTAACTTCCATGTAGAGATGGTTTCTTTTGTCCCCTTCTGCTCTTTCATCTTTTTATATATGGTTTATCTACTATCTACCCTGTCCCAAAACATGTTAAAAAGCCCTTTGGTTTTATCAGTCTGTTTTTGTCCTTCATCATCGAACTCTGGGAGAAGTGGGGGACCCTGCCCAGCACTCCGGTTTCTCATGGTTCATTCAAATGCCTGCTCTGGCTTTCTTTCCCGACAATGAAATGCTTCCTTAGCAGTTGGATGATCCATACCCCCGCCCCACCCCATTTCCAATTTGAATGGCTCTGGCCCTAACAATACATGGCTGTTGTTGAGTTCTTTTTTAATGTTCTCTCTCCATGCTTCCTTGACAATATTGAAATGCTCATGCTTAGAACTTACTCTTTTTTTTTTGGCTGATTTACTTTTATCTTTATAAATGTTATGCACAAACATCTCCCCCTCATCTTATCTGATGATCTTTGCTTTAGGCAATCTCTGGGTTGTGACACTGAGTCACACCTGCCCCCAGCCCAAGACTTCCTCCTAAATCATAAGCCATGATCTCTGACTTCTTGCCAGGTCTTGCTCCCTTGACTTCACAAGTCCCCTCCTCAGCATCATGTCTGTCTTGCTGTGGCTTTCCTCTGACATCTCAGAGCTAGTATATGTCACCAGTCTTTTCTCTAGTGTAAGTGAACGATGCATGGACATTGAACCCAGTGAGAGCAATAAATGAAACCCTCAGTAAATTCTCAGTGTTTCATTTTTCTAGGAATTACAGAACACTCCTTGTAGCTTTTACATTATTATCTTTATCCTATCCTATCAACTCAAAGAATCAAAAAACCCTTGGGAACAAAACTTGGTGCTTCCTGTATTTTTCTTTTCTTTCTTTCTTTCTTTTTTTTTTTCTTTTTCGAGACAGGGTTTCTCTGTGTAGCTTTGGAGCCTATCCTGGCACTAGATCTGGAGACTAGACTGACCTCAAACTCACATCGATCCGCCTGCCTCTGCCTCCTGAGTGCTGGGATTAGGCATGTGCCACCAACACCCTCTTTTCCTTTTCTTGCTGAGGCACAAGCATAGGTCTCATCTCTCAGGAGACTTCCACTTCTCTCTCTCTGTCTTTTTTTTTTTTTTTTTGGTTTTTCAAGACAGGGTTTCTCTGTGGCTTTGGAGGCTGCCCTGGAACTAGGTCTTGTAGACAGATCTGCCTGCCTCTGCCTCCCAAGTGCTGGGATTAAAGGCGTGCGCCACCACCGCCCGGCTGACTTCCACTTCTTTTTCACTGAGACTTGGGCTTGCTGATTAGGAGAGTCTGGGTGGCCATGGAGCCACAGGGATACTCCTGTGTCTTCTCCCAAGCAGAGCACACCACCAGGCCACACTCTTTTGATTTGGGTTCTGGGTATTGAACTCAGTTCCTTGTGTTTATAAGGTACACAGTTTACTGACTAAACTATCTCTCTAACCTGGGAATTTCTTTTTAAATCTTTCTGGCTTTTTTTTTTTACCCTTATGTATTAAAAAGTTCACTATTTTTAAATCATACCTTAAAAGTGACTCTAATGGCTTGCTCTCCCTCTTAAGGTTTCATGGGGTATGATGCCTGAAATCATAAAACAAAACTAAACTAAAAATATAACACATTTAAAGGTTTCTACACATTCCTCTTATACATTATTCTGTCAAGCTGAAGCCAAGTGTTGAGTTCTCTGTTAAGTTTTAGAGTCCAGAACCTTTTTTCTACTTTATGCTCAGCATAAGGCAGCTTAAAATGCACAAGTACTCCAAAAACCAAGAAGATTTAAATAAATTACACACCGAAAGTGATTATGAATCTTAGGCTGCCAAGGAACTTATAGAATTAGAAAGAAAAAAGAAAGGAAACCATAGATACATGGAGTAAATACAAAATCATGAAAAATATAAATTTTAGCATTACAAAATTTTAAAGCATAGTAAGGGTAGACAGACACTGTTTTGTGTGTGTGTGGGGGGGAGTTCAGAGACAGGGTTTCTCTGTGGCTTTGGAGGCTGTCCTGGAACTAGGTCTTGTAGACCATGCTGGTCTCCAACTCACAGAGATCTGCCTGCCTCTGCCTCCCAAGTGCTGGGATTAAAGGTGTGTGCCACCACTGCCCGGCCGGACACTGTTTTTTTGTTTTTCTAAGTTTAAGTGAAGAAAACACAAGAGAAAAGATGTAGGCCAAAAGGTATTAATCTGTAAATTTGTAACGTACTAGGTTTACTATAAGGAGTTGACCAAAGTTGGCCTTAGGCTTTCTAATAATTCTAGTAGGGCCATCTGTGGTTCCTGGGCACTATGACTAGGAATTAACTACTAATGTTCCTGTATTTTTTTCCTTTTGGTTTTATGAGACAGGGTTCCAAGTGTAGCCCTGGCTGTCCTAGAACTTACTCTGTAGATCAGGCTGGCCTTGAAATCAGAGATCTGCCTCCTCTGCATCGTAAGTGCTGGGATCAAAGGTATGTGCCATCATCACCCACTAACATTGTTCTTAAGTAGTTATTTGCACTCACTGCCTCATTGAGCAAATACACATTCAAAGATCTCTCACTGATACTTGGGGTACAGTTTGAGACTTCATGGGAGAAGAATTGTTTTAATATATTAATGTGTTTTCTTGGTCACTGTATTAACTTTTATGGTACAAGTTAATATTCTAATTTTCAGTTGATTTTCAAAATGCAAATTCCTCAAAGCCAATAGTTTATACAGTTCTTTATTGTGTGAACAATTTTGATACTACACTTGTTCTTTTGCAAGGTTTATTGTTTGCTTTTAAATTATAATCAAAATTATTTTGTTTTCAAAAGTAATTTGAACTTGTGTCTATTACCATTGTTTTAAATTTTAAAAAATTTCCAATTATTGAGGGAGGCACATACATATACCATAGCACATGTGCAGAAGTCTAAAGACAACACACTTTTGGGGTTTTGTTTTCTCCTTCCACTCTGTGGGATCCAGAGACGAAACTCAGTTCAGCAGGGTTGGCAGCAATCACCTTTACCCACTGAGCCATCTCACTGGACCCTGTTACCATTCTTTGTAGCCAAGTACAGCATGTCCAGCCCTACCGGCCAGTACTCTTATCATTTGAATTCATAGTTTAGGTAAAAGAATCACATCACATCACATTTAACTGATGGAAGCAGGGAGTTTCCTATACTGCATAGCTTTGTCAGCAGTAGTTATCACAATGACCTAACCAGTCTATGGTTAAGAAGTTTCCAAATCATATGAAGCTGTTGTATGAATTGAAGAGCAAAGCAGATCCTTCCAGTTAATGACTTGCACTCTGTATGTTGACACATGTTAATTATTTCCCTGGTCCTGTGATAGACAGAATGAAAGATGTGGCTAATTAGTAAGGAGGCACTTAAGGATCTCATAGTTCTACTGGATGCCAGAATCATTTCCTATAACTCTTCTCCAAGGAAAAGCCTACTTAGAAAGACAAGTGGGGAAGGGGGAGGTAAATCACTCCTGTGATTTGAATTTCTGCTTTCACTCAATCTGGAGTCAAACATATATTTGAATTATGAAAGTGGTTGAATTTGGACATTTATAATAAACAGTGTACAAAACATTTTCTCACGGGATTAGGATGTATCTTACTAGAGTTACTAGACCATGTTACTAGAGTACTGGTCTACCATGTTCGAAGTCCTGGGATTGCTCCCCATCACTGCATAGAGGCAGGCATCGTGACACAAACCTGTAATCCCACAAGTAGTTAAGTGAAGCCAAGCATGCTTGGCTACACCATGAACCTAGGTTACATAAGAACTTCTTTCAAAAGCAGACACAAATAAAAATAAGGAATTTTTCTCCAAATCCTTTCTTTAAATCAGATATTGAATAAAATAACATGCTTTCATCATCTGTTGCATCTGGTATCTTTTGTGATCAGGTGCCAGATATTTTAATTTTTTAAGCTGAGTGTACATAGTATTGACCTATAAAAGAAAAGTACCTGTCTGTCATTTTGTCTATATTTTTAAAAAGATAGAGATGACTTCTCCTTCTTTTTGTAATAGGTTCTTCTTGCTTTGTTGGTGATTGTGTCGCTTGGATTAGGCCTGGGACTTGGGCTCAGGAAACCTGAACAGCAAGGTAATATCTCCTACCATTTTTGCAAAAATCAAAACCAACCAAACAAAATAAACAGTGTCTTCATTCTTCTGGCTTTAATTCATTCAAACTTGTCTTTTCCCAGGTTGTTTTGCTGCCCCCCACCCATACCTCCTTCATAATCAACATTACTCATTGTTCTTTCTGGACTTTACTCTTTCACCTCACATACAAAATGGAAAACAAAGTCAAAAGAACTCCAGTAACTAATTACAGTCTGTCTCAGTTCCTACTGTAATTATAAATTCCTGATGACCACATCCAACCTCTTGACCTCCACTGTGTCCCCTGGCCTTCACCGTGTCAGCTTCTTGACCTCCACTGTGTCCCCTGGCCTTCACTGTGTCAGCTTCTTGACCTCCACTGTGTCCAATCCCCTGGCCTTCACCGTGTCAGCTTCTTGACCTCCACTGTGTCCAACCCCTTGACCTCTGCTTTCTACAGCCTTTGCCATTCACCGTATCAGCCTCTTGACCGTTTGAAGTCTTTATTTCTCTGTCTACCTCCTCTGTGCCTTGATAGCAATGTTAGTATTGTCACATTGTTCAAATCCCACTGTGTGGTTAATCAATGCGAAATTCTTAAAAATAGAACATAATAAAATGTCATTTTTTTGGTAAGAAGCAAAGAAAAATAAGAATTATGTGTACGTGTGTGGAGATCAGAAGACAAGCATCTGGGCAGTTTATTCTCTCATTCATTCTGGGGTTTTCATTCTTACAAGTGGTAAGGCTGGTTTGAGAAGTTCCTTAACTTTCCCAGCCATTTTACTAGCCGGTAGTCTATATTTTTAATAGATTGTGTTGGTGTTTTCACTAAGGTGAAATACAAGTCTGTGTTTAGTTCATCTGATGACCCTTTCAATATGACTAATATATTCCATTTGGCTCCACTGAGAAAAATCTTAGCATCTCTTTATCAAGCAGGCTCTTGGAGAAGTTAGCTGACAATCCTCCAGCCATGCCATCATTTAAGAATGTACACACAGTTCTTCCATGCAACACAGGAACACAGCAGAGATTGACAAAAAACAGTGACCATTAGCTGGAAAATTCCTGCCATCTTGTGGTCACTGGACTGCTGTGTCTTGGAGGGGTGCTGCTGTTCCTGGCTGGAATGAATGTTGGCAAGCTGTTTCAGCGGTATCATTCCAGTGTTGATGAACAAATGGGCATCATTTCTTGTCTATTTTATCCTCCAAATCGCATAAGTTGGCTGCAAAAGGCATATACTAATCTCTGAACAAAATCCCCTATTGCCTCAGCTCTTCCCCCTGTATCTTATCTACTCCCCCATTCCTTACTTCCTTACACTCCTGGCTGGCTTCCCAGCATGGTTCTCCTTTAGCTTCTCCCCTTCATCTCAGGTTCTCAGCCCTCCTACCAGCATCTCCATCTTTCTTCCTCTCCCACACAGGACTCTTTCCACCTTGCTCATCCTTTTCAATATTCATTGACATTTAGCAGAGTCAGCCCGTTATTATTCATTCACCCAGGGCCTGATCCCTTCAGCCTGAATGTGGAACGATTTAGCCATTTTCCACTCCATGCAGCTCTTCCTCATTTGCAGTGTAAATTGTTCCTTGTGTAGATTTTAAAAAAAACATGTGAGTGTTCTTACAAACTTATTGTCATGTATGCACATTATCTCTTACCTACGCACTAAAAAGGGGACGTTGTCTTGTGCTCTGTGTTTTTCTACTTAGGACATAATGGTGAGGAGAACAGACAAAAGTCCTTTCAAGAGTGTACATTTCTAGGCTGAAGATGTTTATACAGTTGGTCTAGTCCTAGCATGCATGAAGCCCAGGGGTTGGGGTTCAGGACTACATAAACTGGATGAGGGAAGTAAGCAGGGGATCAGACGTTGAAGGTAATCTTTAGCCTCATAGAATGGAGGAGGAGGGGGACAGTTTCCAGGGAATGATGAGTGAAACCAAAATCAAGAAAATGAAACGTCAGGCCAGGCTGGTGTGTGGGAATGGGTGTGGGTGTGAAGGAACTTCTGAATGATGAGCTCAAGGAGGTGAAGAAGTGAGGATACTCTCCACGGAAGAGTGTGGGCGTGTTCTTCTCTTTTCAGCCGGTTGGCCATCGATCTGAGAGGGGAAAGAGGCAAAAGGGGTGACAGAAAGCTTTGTATATGGCTCATGAGCACAAACGGAGGGAGGGAGGCCTCTGAGACAGACTTTGGTGAATCAGCTCAACTTTATTCCATAGTATAAAGGATATATAGGATTGGGGAGCCAGAGACAGACACTAATTTTCATCAAGTGGCTTGCTCCCATCACAAGGCTTAATATGTGGCAGTAAGATCCTATAGCAGAGCTCCTAGCACAAGTCTTCTTAGCAGGGATCTGTGCCAAGACTCAAGCTAAAGATGAATCCGGCATCTGGTTTAGAGACAGCTTTTAGATAGGGTCAGCCTGCCAGGCCCAGGGACTTTCTCCAAATAGAGAAGGGCAGGTAGAGAGCAAGAAGCCTTGCTGGGGAGGGAGGGAGTTTCCGTATTGCCGAGCTTAGAAAAGCTGCCAGGCTATGGCGACCTCTAATCAGCCATCAATGTATTCCAACAGAAGACCACTCTAGCTAGCTAGAAACAGCAAATGCAAATGCCTAATCCGGGAGAATGCCTGGTGGGTTCCACTGAAAGGGTAATAGGGAAGTCATGAGCTAGACATAACAGGACATAACAGAGGGAGGCAGTCACACTATAGGTTCAGCCATATAGAGGAGCTAATCCGTAGGGGTTGGGATATCAAAGCTTGGTCTTGGATTTTCATTCTGAGTACAATGGGAATTGACTGGAAGGTTTGAGCTGAGGAATGATGTAATCTGGTTCATTTCCAACTGTTGAATGAACTAAGGCTGCTGTGTTCCAAACATGGAAGAGTAAGAACAGAAGAAGAGAAGACAATTAGGGGACTGGGACAATCAACCACATGAGCCTTGTCTTGAAGCTAGTGGCAATAAATATTTAGATTCTGGAACCAATTGTATGAGCTATAGCTCAAATATTAACAAGTTGGGTATAAAGTGAAAATGAGATGGCTCAAGAATGGCCCTATGAGTGTTTTTTGCATTTGTTTTTGTTTGCATGAGCATCTGGACACAAAAGCTTTCATACTTGGACATAGAGGGGAGGTGGTGCTTTGGGTAACACTAGTTTAGATAAAAAAGATACCATTGCTCAGTTTTGAACATGTTAAAATTGAAATGCCATTTAGATGTCTGAGTAGTGAAATCATGAAGAAAGCTGTTATCTGAGATTGGCTTGTGGAGGAGGTTTTAGCTGGACATACACTGTGGTGATTATCAGCATCCTGTGTGGGATTCCAAGTCACGTGACTCGAGTAAATGAACCTTGAACAACTGGGAGATGTAAGAAATCCCAGACGTCTAGGGAGGAGTAGCAATGATTGTGGGAGAAAACACCTGTGCGTGTGGGGGGTTGTGTGTGTGTGTGTGTGTGTGTGTGTGTGTGTGTGTGTGTGTGTGAATACTGGTTGCCTTCATTGTTTTCCTTTAAACCAAGTTTTTCTTCTTTCTCCATCTCCATTTTAGCCACAGGCTTAGCCTCTCTTAGCCTATGCTACCCTGCCATCCTCTAGTGGCCTGTGACCATCTGTTCATATTATAGAGTACTACTGTTTGTTTCCCCTATCAGCTATTTTCTGTGCTGTCCCTCTGTAACAGCCACTGCTCTTAAAATTCCATCAGAGTCTGAGCCTTGGAATCTGAAATGGCAGTAGTGTGGTGAATCCCTGATCCACCTTCAGAATTCTTTTTTACCCGTTCTCCTGTATTTACCCTTGTTCTTGCCACTCCACTTTCACCTGATGGTGCTAGGCCTTCCATCGTTGGCACCTCCATTTTTAGGGTTCTGGGGCAAACACCTGGCCTCTGCCTAGATGTCCTCCTCTTGAGTACAGTTGTTGATTCCTTCTTTCTGTTATTTCTCTTTCTAGTTTTTCTCCTGTTTCTGTCTGGTCTAAGACGGAAGTTTCAGGAAAGCCAGGAATATACAGAGAAACCCTGTCTCAGAAAAAAAAAACCAAAAAACAAAAAAAAAGCATGAAAATATTTTTAAAAATTGATGTAAATTTTAAGCATATACACAAGTATAAATTCTAATTTAAATGTCTATATAACATCAGCCACTAATACTTCATGACCAATCTTGTTTTACTTTTATATCTAATCTACTGCCTCCCTTTAATATTATCTTGAAACAAAAGCATGACATAATTTTATTTCCAAAAATATTTCAGATTGTATATCTAAAATATAAGAACTTTTCTTTAAAAAGCACGATAATTAGGCTGGGTAGTGCTGGTGCACACCTTTAATCCCAGCACTCAGGAGGCAGAGGTAGGCGGATCTCTGTGAGTTCGAGGCCATCCTGGTCTACAGAGTGAGTGACAGGAGAGGCTCCAAAGCTACACAGTGAAACCCTGTCTCAAAAAAAGCACTGTAATTTTAGATATAAATATTCTGAAACAGAAAACTGTCCCATTTTAATGGAATTTAAAAGCCATTGCTTTGACTGGATAATATAATCCCATAATTTATTCACAATGATTTTTTTCTGCCATCTTTGCACAACTATTGTGTTCCCTCCTCTGAGATGATAATAATTATATTATTATAGGAATTTTATGTCTCTATATTATTTACTATGCATGAATAATATGTTAAGCAATATTATTATATTAATTACATAATATATATGTAATAATTTTGCACACACTCAACCAACTTCTCTCCCCCTTCCTTAACTTTTCCTTTCTTCTCCCACCTTTTTAAAATTAACACTTGAGCCCTTTGTTTCATGTTGTTCTATAACTTTTCCAGATGTTTTACCTATTTATACCAATAACAATATGCCCTATTGACTTGATTATTGTAAAAATATCACCGTGTTTTTCATATATTCACCACCCTTTTGTAATAATACTTTGAAAATAATCAGAATACTCTGTTTTGTACGTTTAGGGCCAAAAATAGAGTAGGTGAGTTTGAGAGGTCTGCCACTCTGAGAAACATTAATTTTCATGCCTTTTCCCACTGTCTTCATCTTGCCTTCTTACTCTCTCTCCCTATTAAACTAGCTTTTATGCATTTTGAGATGGATGGTCTAGAATATGCTCCTTAACTCCCAAGACGTGATAATTTGTTTGGCCTCTGTAGCTACTGGTTTTTGTATATGAAGCAAGACTATGAAGAGATTCCATCTCTCCCCTTGCAACTCATCAGCTGTCCTAATATAATGAACCTCATTGTCATTTTGTTAACATCATTTGTTTAAGAAGTCCTTTATTGTTGGTTGGGAAGTTGCTGGGGAGGAAGAATCAATTTTCTATAAGGTTTTGACTGTTGTTAGGAATACTATAATCTCTTGGATGGCCCCATACTTTTTTGTGTGTGTATGGTTAACATAAATTGGATTCAGTGAACCATAAAAAAAAGGACAGAAAGTTGGGAGGTGGATCTGGATCTGGAGTTAGTCAGGGATAAAACACGAGGTTAATATGATCAAAATACATCGTGTTCATGTATGGAATTCTTTAAAAAACCAATAAAATAGTATACTGAAAATAACTGTAACATTCTTCTTGTGTAACCATGGATATGCTGAGGATTCCAAAAATGAGCATCATTAGTTTATCTCTCCCTTTCTTGAGCTTCAGACTCATTAGCCACACTCCCTAGTAGGTATCTATTTGCTCAAGCATACAGGAGCAATGAGCTTACATTGTTTGAAACCCTTGCCCTGCATGTCAGGAGTCCTTCTTGTGTGTGTGTGTGTGTGTGTGTGTGTGTGTGTGTGTGTGTGTGTGTTGTTGTTGTTGTTGTTGTTGTTGTTGTTATTGCTTTTTTCCTAAATACTGTTATTTTTTATTATAAACTGTTGAAGATGATTAAGCTTTAATATGTTCAGAACTACACTTGTAGTCATGCTAAGTACTAGTGTAACTAATTAGAGGAAAAAACTTTATTCAGCCTGTCAGGAGTCCTTCTTAACTTATTTCTCTTTTCTTTTCTTTTCTTTTCTTTTCTTTTCTTTTCTTTTCTTTTCTCGTTGTTCTACTTATAAGGTTTCTCTCGAGTGCACTGTACTTTTTCTAGACTGTGTGCACTGTCATTACCTTCCTTTAGACTCTTATCTTCCTGCTTGTTAGTTTGGGTTAAAATCCCCTACTGGGTTTGACTGAGAGTTTTCATCCTCTCACTCCCTGTCACTTATTGTCTAAAATGCAAATCGGAGTCTCTCTCTCTCTCTCTCTCTCTCTCTCTCTCTCTCTCTCTCCTTAGTGACTTTCCATTAGCACAGTTGGGCTTCAAGCTTCTTAGCCTGGCATGAGCAGCTTTCCTCTCCCTGCACCAGTCTGTCTTTTCTTTTGAAATCTATGTCAGCTATTCTGAACTACACATTGACCTTATAGGCTTTGCTAAAAGCCCCTCCCCTTTCCTGAGACTCAGTGGAGTCATCCTTCCCCTTGCTAACTCCCTACGCTGTGTCCTCCCTTATATGGCTTGTATATACCCATTTCTTTTATCAGCAGAGTCATCATCCTTTACCATAGCATCATCAATCTACTACTTAGTCTGTGCTAAGCATGTTTGTGTCTTTTCACCATCTAGGGATGGAACAATGGCCCACTTCTAAATGTTGTTGTCCTTTGCCTTTCATTTGACAGGCAGCTGCAGAAAAAAATGCTTTGACGCATCGCATAGAGGATTGGAAGGCTGCCGGTGTGACTCAGGATGTACAGACCGAGGGGACTGCTGCTGGGACTTCGAAGACACCTGTGTGAAGTCAAGTATGGGCTTTGACAGTCTGTCTGCCAACATATTAGCGCTGCCATCATCTGGCATCATACAATTCCACCATGAGTTTGTTTCTAGGACTACCGTAACAAAGTACCACAGTCTAGGTAGTTTAAAAAACTGAAGTCCTTTCTGTCCATCCTGGACGTTAGAAATCCAAAATCCAGATGTTGGAGGCATTGTTTGTGAGGGAGATGGGTTTTGTGCCCCCTTTCTAGGGTCTTGTAGGTCATTGGCAAGCATTGACATTCTTTGACTGGCAGTATCACAGCTTCAAACTCTGCTGTCACTGTCACACGATCTATGTCTCTTCACATAGCCTTCCTCTGTGTGTCCTTGTATCCAACTTTCCCCTTTTTATACATAAACCAAATCAGGGCATGGTGGTCCATACCTATAATCTCAGTACTCAGGAGGTGAAGCAAGAGGGGTTTCTATGAAGATGAGGCCAGACTGAGCTCTCTAGTGAAGGCATATCAAAAGAAAACAGCAGCAAAACAGAAAGAGGGAGAAGAGGAGAGAAAAGGAAGGCAAAAGAGCCAGGTGTTGCATTGAGGATTACCATATTGACTTCACTTTACTTGAACTTTGCAAATAATTTGCACATATTTGCAAATAGGATCATATTTACAGATAATGGGGATAGGCCTTCACTATCTCTTAAGACTGCACAGTTCAACACACAGCATCTGTTCTGGATATCTATACAAGGTTAATTATTGTCATTTTCCCATCTCAGTGCCAAACACAGAAGCCCTTTCTTTGATTGCATTTGAGTGATAGCCATACAAAAAGCAAATGATACATAATGACCTGGGTTTCCATGGAATTCTAAATGTTCCTATTACTTCTGTCACTACTTTTCTTTCCTTATGTGCTGTCCTTAGACAAGGCCAGACAAGGCCAGGCAAGGCTGCTCGTGGGTATATTTATATTGCATCAGTGCTCATGATGCTTCACCATGGGGAATTCCTACACTCTCGAGTGGGTATAGGACCAGGTCCAGAACATCTGCAAACTCAGAACACAAGGCCAATTTATGAAGCCTTATTTCTCTCTGTTACCCAAGCAAGGACACTGGAGTCATGGCTTCTTTTTGCTTTTTAGGATGTATTTTCATTTATTAAAGCAGATAAGTCTAAAGTTTGACTGTGTTGTAAGCACACAGGGAGGAATGCATGGCATTTGTCTTCTCTGTTTTGTGCGTTTAAGTGCAAAGGACTGACTTGTATGCTTTCCCAGCTCAAATATGGACGTGCAATTCATTTCGCTGTGGGGAGAGCAGACTGGAGATGAGTCTCTGCTCCTGTGCAGATGACTGTTTGCAGAGGAAGGACTGCTGTGCTGACTACAAGACTGTTTGCCAAGGTAAGCAGAGGATGTTGGCATGTTTTTCTCAGTAGGTTCACTAGAACTCAATTTCTTAAGGCTATCCTGAGCTACGAAGATTTTTAAAAAGAGAGAGAGAATATTTAGCTATTACTCCACATCCAAGAAAAGATGGAATGTGTTTACTGTGAGATCAAATGGGGTTTAGAAAGAAAGTCTATTTCACAGATGGATAAAAGATCTTGTAGTTTTCATGTAGAAAGCAAGGAGTTTCCAGTCCAGTAACCATGCCGTTTGTTCACTTGTGGTTTGAGATATTGAATGGCACATTCCAAAGTTAAAGTATGTGGAGATGGTTGTACAACATAGCTATAACACATGTGTTGAATAATCTGTGCCCTGAGTGATCTAAGGACTAAGAGCCCTTAAAGAATTATTGCCAATGCAAGACCCCAAAGCAAGCGTCTTGACCCCTGGCCACACCAGCTCGCTTCATAGAGATTTGAAATTGTTGCAAGCTCACTAATGCTTCAGAACACCTGATGAGTTATGAAAACTGTACATTGCACAGACACTAAACTCTGCACACTAAAAATCCTGTTCCTGTGACTCTACACTCTACTGAATTAATGTCTTTACATAAAATAGAAAGATTAAATTGAATTTTAAGTTTTGAAGCAAGAGACAATGCAAATGTTGCTAGAGCTGGGTTCTATACACTGTAGAAACGGTAGAAAGAAGCTATGGCAGTTTGAATGAGAAATGTTTCCCATAGTCTTTGGAATTGGAATGTTTGGTTCCCCCAGTTTGTGGTGCTATTTGGGGAGGTTTGGGAGGTATGGCCTTGCTGGAGGAAGTGTGTCACTGTGGGTGCACTTTCAGAGTTAAAGTCGCCTTACCACTTCCAGTTTGCTCTCTCTGCTTTGTATTTTGGTTAAGGATGTGAGCTCTCAGCTTTTCTTCCTCAGGCCACTATGCCACTTGGTCTACAACACATTCATATCCCTCTGGAACTGTAAGCTCAAATAAATTCTTCTATAAGTTGTCTTGGTCTCGATGTCTGACCACAGACGCAGACAGAGAAACTAACATACAAGCCCAGACCAAGAGACTTTCAGGCAGCACATCTTTGTTTTTTAAATTAGGACAACTCTTTAACTTAGATAAGATATATAGTTCTGACAAATTGCAAGACAGAAAAAGCACCACCACCAGAGAAGTTCCCATCTAGATCTTTTGTGCAAACAAGGAATTTCAGCTGGTAGAGTGTCTAGCCCCTACTGGCCCATGTCTGAGTTTATTGGTTAGCAGTGACTACTAGGGCAAGGCAGGTTCCAAGAGGCATATTCTGCTTCTCCATGAGTAGGGTGTATTTTCAACTGCCATGTTTTTAACACAAGGGATGGGGGCATGCCCTGGGCCCTTACTTAATTCCTTGTTTATCACTATTCTGTGACTGCACAAAATGGATGTGAGCCTTGGGCCCCCTCTTAGCAAGTTTTCATTTTGTCAATCATTTCAGTGACCCTTAACTGTCTTAGAAACATTACTGTAGTCAAGAGTAGAAGGTATGTTTTAGATATATGAGTCATTTTATATGAAAAATAATAAAACAAATAATGAAAACCAGGCTTACTGGAAAAGAGCCTGAAAGTGGTAACATTTTCCAAATACTTAGTGGTAAATATTGAGTCATGAAATTTTTTCGGAGTATCTGGAAAGGCAAGTATGGTTTCTGGTTAGCTTAGTTTTCTAATCTCACTGACTGTAATATTTCTTGTCCTTATAGTCTCCCTTCTCTTGTCCCAATTTTGTAACTTTAATGTTTTATCTGAAGGCTTGTACTGAGATCACATAAATTTCCATCCGAGTTCCTTGAGCAGCATTATTTGTCTTTTACAGGAGACAAGGTTGTTATAAACAGGGCAGGAGTTTACCCTGTTTATTTTCAGATTAAATTCAGTGTGTTCTCACTCTAAAGATATAATTTTTTAGATTTAAATAAATAGCTTTAAAGAGTATTTGAAGAGAATCAGAACCATTTTGGAGCAAGAATCTGTTAATAGCTTTTATATTTTGGCAAATTTAGAAAACTTTAGAAACTATGATTAATTTCTATCAAACACAAGTAGAGAGGGTGTTTTCCTTATATCTGTCAACCACCTATCTTCAGCATTTATCATTTCAGAGCCAATCCCATCTCATGCTGACAAAGCATTATTTTTCTAAAGGTAGCATGGCTTGCAGATAAAGGCACAGTGAGCAAGGCAAAGGTTTAGTGATTTAGCAAGATAAGCAATTGGATTGTATGCTTCAGAGGGAAGAGCATAGAAAGAATGGGAAGGCCACTGAAATAAAATCACTGAATCTGTAGCCTTTGGTGGGGTTGAAAGTACTTGTCCTCTTACAGGGCAATTTGGGGTTTATTTGATATTACATAAGAATTCTTCACTGTATATTTTTTCTTGTTCACTACTAGTTAAATGTTACTATGAGTTGCCAAAGGAGTAATCTAAATAAAGATTCATATTTATGTAGGTAACTTAGTGATGCATAGACTGGCCTTTTAGATGGTTCCCAGTGTGACATTAGCATGGAGTCTAGGACCATGATCTGTACATCTCCAAACCTTGTATTTCCTTTTCTTTTGCTTTCTGAAATAGTTTTACATGTATGAGTGTTTGCTTGTGTCTGTCTGTGTACCATGTCTGTGCCTGTTTTCAGTGGAGTTCAGAAGGAGTTGTCAGATCTTCTGAGACTGAAGTTAAAGAAAGTGTGAACCTCCATGTGGGTCTGGGAATTGAAGTCCAATCCTCTGCAAGAGCAGCCAGTGGTATTAACTGATGAACTATCTCTCCAGCCTTGTGTTTATTTTAATTTTTTAAAACAAAAGCGTACGCATCATTTTCTTGCCACCCTCCTCCCCTCTATCTCTGCCTCTTTGTCTATCTTTGTCTTTGTTCATCTCTGTCTCTGTTTCTCCCTCTCTCTCAAAAGTTTAGATTGTTTCAAGGCTGGCACTAGCATCACTGCTCTGCATGTGTCTAAAAAAGATAAAGAAAGATTAAATAACATTATAATACCACCCAAATATATACTTTTATCCATCAAATATCTAATCTATGTTCAAAATTTACTCTCTGTTTCATAATAGTCTTTCAAAAGATTGAAACAAAATCCAAATAGGTTCTTGCTACTGCAAGTGACTGATATATTTCAAGTCTTATAGGAAAAAAAATCTATGCTTCCCCTTTGTGTGCCTCTGACATTTTATAATACTGCAGAAGTGGGGTTATTTGTTGTAGAGATGTTCTAGTCTAGGTTTTGTTGATTGGATGCCTTCTGACTTAAGTAATTTCTCACTCCATTTAGTTGCAGAAACTTAGTAGTTAGAGCCAGAGAACAGCTGAAACGCTGGTATTTATTGATTTATTGCAAACTACATTTTGTAAAAAATGGTGTTGCCTCTATCATGATGTACATTACATCTGCTTGTGTCTTCTGTGGGAGTTGTCATGAGGAATTGCTCAAGGTCACATAGATCTTCTGTCATTTCCACTTTGTTAGCTGGAATGTTCTATAAAAGCAAGCATTCATGCTGCAAACATTTGATGTTAAGAATTCTCAGTATTTTCTATTTGATGCCAACTATTTCAGTTAGCTATTTCTTTTCTTCATGGTTTTCTCCTCTCTTCTTTAGGTTTTGTGTCAGTATTTATTAAATGTGTTATCATCACAGCCATTGTGGAAATATCCTTCAGGTGAGGTGTGAGAAAAACAAATCCATTAATGAAGAAATATTCTTTCCATTTAAGGACTCTCCTTTGTTTTTTTCTGGATGGAGAGGCTTCCCTTCCCGACACTCAGCAATGTAGACCACTGATGTCAAGTCTTTAGAGACCACTACCCTTGTCACCACATGAGATAGAGCATACTGAGTTCTGGAAGAAGTTAGTCATCTGAGTGACAACGGTCAAGCAGTTGGAGAAGATACGCCCAGCAAATCCCTGCCTTTTTCTGTTTGTATGTGGCACAGCTATCTTAAACAATATGATCTGCTTTGCAGGAGAAAGCCCATGGGTGACAGAAGCCTGTGACACACCCCAAGAGCCCCAATGTCCAGAAGGGTAAGCATGGTACTTCATCTTCCTTTAATAATAGGCACATGATGCTGGAGGGAGAGGCCAAGTAGAATTTCCACACGTTCCTCTCAAAGTAGAATCGTTAACAGAAGTTTGGACTCCTTGTGGATTCACACTCAGCACACATTTGCTTGCTTTGCTGTTAACAAATCACTTTCCTGTATTGTTTTATTATAATATAATAATTATTTTATTGTTAATACCTCACAATAACTTAAATGTATTTGTTGGCATATACCCACATTCCGGGGGTCCTACAGGCAAGAATGGAATTCAGACTAAATTTACTCTTGACTAAATTACTCTTGTTTTCAGTCAGTTAACATCCTTACAATAAACTATCTTCCAAATGAAGGGAGGGGAAGGGCCTCATGGAAAGAAAGGTTCACCATGACAGGAGGACCTTTCTCAAGTAATGTCCACCCACCATGCTTCTCCTCCCGTGGGCATGACCATTGCTCCCAGGACTTTGGTGCTGCCCCTTGTCACCTCCCCCCAGGGTGAACTTCCCTCCCCTCCTTTGTCCCTTGCCCTCACTTGCCAGGGCCCAGCAGTTAGGGATGGCAGTGGGGTGGCAAAAGATGAAAGGAATACTTGGCTTTATGAAGAATAAGCATTTTATAATAGTGCCATTTTATTTTTTACAAAAATATGTGAGGAGCCCGACATGGTAGTATGCCAGCATGAGGAGTCCCACTTACTTGGGAGACTGAGGCAAGGGCATTACTCTAGTATTAGTTGGAGCAACCTAGAGAGTGATGTCTTTCTCTAGAAAACTGCACCGTCTTGAATCACAGCTCTTGAAACAGAGATCTTGGAAATAAAAGGTCTGAGGTGATAGATATTAGCCTGAAAAGAGCAGACACTTGGATAAGAACCCACAACTTTTAGCAGAAGAAATAAGGTAGAAGTTTGAAAGGATTCACTGGCCCAGAGGAGAGAGCAGAGTGTTTTTTTTTAATTTATATGTACATAAACAACCCAGAAACATGGAGGAGACAAGGATGGTTTCTGAGTTAAGTTTATACAATATTTATCAAGTATGTTAGTTATCCGTAATAATGGATTCCACTTTGACATTTTCATTCGTATACATAATGTATTTGGATTGTATTCTGTTGGGGGCACAAAGCTCTTTTTGACTGTAATCACTAGGGAAACAGGAATGTTAAGCACAGAGGGGCCTCTGTGCCTCCCTAATTCCCAGTTAATAGAACCCATACTTAGTGGAGATGTCACATGCTCTTCATGGCCTGCTGACCTCTATATGCTGTCAGTCAGAGATCACACTAGAGTCTAGGCCTTTTAGCTATAGGACCCACCCTGTGGTCACATGTACTTTGTAAAGGAGATTCTAAGTTGTCACTTTAAACTTTGTTGTGTATCTGGAATTGGGTGGGACTCTTGTTACCTGGAAACCTTTGTTCTAAATTGTACTGTGTCTTAAATATGCTGACAATGAATTGCTTGGTATCAGACTCCCCAAGTCTGATGCAGGTTGACTGACAGGTTGACCTCTTTGGGGTTCGCTTCCCTGCCTGGACATTTTCAGGGTCTCCCTCAGTATTCACCTTCATCCCCTCTAGTCTCTTTCACTCCTGTTAATTCCTTTTTTCTTCCCAACTGGCTTCCCTCAAGCCACTTTCAGGTCTTTTGTGTGCATGGATGTGACCCAGGGAGTTTGAGTAGGGCTATTTGTGAGGGTGTGGGTGGGAGTTGGTTTACAAGAGCATGTGCACCTCAACGTGTCTACATCACTCAGGAAAATCTCTCCTTCCCCATTGACCATTATTTGCGTTCCTTCCTCGGGGAAGGAATGAGGCCCCTTGAACAGCGCCCCTTCCACGCCAGAGTGTTGACAAGTCCAGTCATGTGGAGATTTTGTGAAGAATTAACTGCTGACCACTTCAACAGATGGTTCTCGGACCCAAACTGATTACTGTGCTGTTGTATAAACAACATAAATGTAGCAACTTAGAAGACAATTTGATAGACACAGCATGTCCATCTACCAAACGACAACTTCCCTACATTCAGAAAGACAAATCATCCTTTTGCTTTGGCCATGTGACTGACTAATCTCCCTTCTCTTGGTGAAATTTAGGGAAACCCTCGTTGAGGGATAACATGTCTGTCTCTATGACATGCTATTCGGCTTGTGCCAACTCTTAGATTCACCAGCCCTCTTTAGCAGCCTCTAGAAGATCAGCAAGGATGTAAGACAAAGCTCAAGGGCTGTTTTTTGCCCATGGGGCTTTGCACTAGGCACTTCTTGTAGGAGTTTTATCCGTGAAGATGAATATTAAACAATATGGGGCTGGAGAGATGGCTCAGTGGCCAACAGTGCTTGCTGCCCTCCTAGAACACCCAAGTTTGGTGCCCAGATATTTTCTAATATAAGCTGCACCATATCACTTTATTTTTTAAAGTTGCTTATTTTTAATTTGTAATCATGTGTATGAGTGTGTGCTGTGTGCAGGTACATGCACATGACTGCAGTGGCTACAAAAGCTGGAGGATGATACTGGCTTTCCTGCAGCTGGGATTACTTGTGATTCATGTGACATGGATGCTGGGAACTGAATTCAGACCCTCTGAAGAGGAGTTTGCACTCTTAACTGCTGAGCCATCCCTCTAGCCCTTATTTTTGTTTGTTTGTTTTTGAGACAGAGTTTCTCTGTGTAGCCCTGGCTCTCCTGGAACTAGTTCTGTAGACCAGGCTGGCCCTGAGCTCACAGAGCTCTGCCTGCCTCTGCCCCCGAGTGCTGGCCACCACCAACACTTTGTTTTTATTTTGATGTATGTATTTTCTACATGTTGCAGTTCTGACAGTCCCAGTTTTTTCACTTTTATTTATAAATCAACATAAGCTTCATATCCACACCTATTTTAAGCATATGATACAATAAGACTTGAACACTCACAATCTTCAGTAACTAGCAGTCAGAACATTTATAAGACACAGGATATTTTCCCCACCTCAGTAAGATGCCTCGTGTCCCTTCTCAGCCTCTGCTCTCTAAAGGCTTCTGACCTCTTTCCCCAGGGAACCCTGATTTAGACTTTCCCACCAATGGAACCATGCTGTATATCCTCCCATAGTTGGCTCTTCAGGCTTAGCACAATGTTTTTGAGACCCAAACGTGTTTGTAGGTACCAACTCTCTCTGGGCACATGTTCAGGGTACTGCCCTGGTTGGACTTTTGTCCCATTCTCTTGTGTAATTTCTATTGGCCATTTAGCAGTGGCACCTCCTAGCAAGCCTGTTCTCACCTTGAAGAGACTTAATATGGTGTTCTTCTGTGTGTTTGACTCTGTACTGGGAATCAGCCCTTGGCCATTGCAAGCCACCTCTCAGCTTCATTTCCTGGGACTCCTTTATACCTTCAGACTCAACATCTAGCACAATGGATTACTCAAAAATCTGTTAATTACTCTGCAAGAAATAAACATTCTAAGCAACCCAACAAACTGGTTTTCTAGATTCCCCTTCATAGTTTGTTCTACATATGAAAGTGACGACCACACTAGTAACATTTTAGCTTGACTCAGTCATATGGAGGAGGTGGAAGACATTTTGTTATTTTACCTGGCACCAACATTCAGACTTTCGTTTTCAGTCATATTTGGGTAGCTTATTAGAATGTCAAGGATTTACTCTAACCAAATTTCTTTTAAAAGTATGTTTTTGCTAAAAGCAATGGAATATATAACTGCTTGACACAGAGGTGAAAATTGCTTTGCCATACCCTCTGGCTTTTGAGACAAGGTTTCTCTTCTATAGCCTTGGCTGTCCTGGCACTCACTTTGCAGGCTGGCCTTGAACTCAAAAGATCCTCCTGCCTCTGCTTCCCAAGTGCTGGGATTACTTGGTGGTGGCATGTACCACCAAGCCTGGCATCATACTCATTTTTCAAGTGCTATAATGAAAAACAAATCTACTGTGTTCATAGTTGCTGTTCATGACAAACCCACATTGAAAGCATCCAAATGCCTGTCAACAGAGAGAGGAATGAGCTGTGATTCATTCATGCATGGAAACTAAACAAATGTTACAAGGGATGATTTATAATTTTAAGCCTCAAGATAGATTAATTAAAATATGATGAATGCCAAGCAAAAGGTCACAATGTATACTATATGATTCAATTTATATATAAATTCAATATTGAAGTGAGAACAACTGTTCCTAAAAGTGAAGATGTTGCTTAGCCTGGTTGGAGATGGGCTTTGCTGAGGTCAGTAACTCGGGAAGGAATCTGGGGCATTATTCATGTTCTGTTTCTTGATCTCAGTGATGGCTACATGGCAAAGTTTGGCTAGTAAAAATTTATGAAGCTATGCATCTGTCACACCAGACATGCAAGCAAAAGTCAAAAAGTGAAGATAAATAACAAATTTAAAAAATATAGTTTATGGCTGTAACTCCAAAATTGATGTTGATCCTTTTATGTGAAATACCAGTCTAGAAGAGCTTTAAAATTTGGGGTTACATGTTGATATCCTAAGATAAGAGCACAAAGTCAAAGAATGAAGCTTTAATGTGAGAAACTTATCACAAACTAGTTGCCAAATTTATGTCATGGCAACATCCAAAAGGTGGTTGAAATTCAGCGACTGTTGCTTGACCCAGAACTCTTTTTTTATTTATTTTCTAAGTTTTTTTTTTCTAATGCAGAGAATGGTAAGTAGTACAAGATCATCTGAAGAGTTTCTGTTTTTCATTTTCAGGTTTGACTTGCCACCGGTTATCTTGTTTTCCATGGACGGCTTCAGAGCTGAGTATCTACAAACATGGAGTACCCTCGTGCCGAATATCAACAAACTGAGTAAGTCCTGAGAGCCTACTGAGTGCAGATGACAAAGCAACCCACTCATCCTTCCCCTTTGGCAGCATCGGTGGTTTGTCTTAGGTCCAGGTTCTCTCAAGATCTCAAGGATTTACCCCCATGGTCTATATATTTTCACTAGGGAAATCTTTTCCTACATGTTAGTTTTCCTCACCTTTTTCTTAAGTAGCATGTCATCATTTTGTTTATTTTGGTGTGTTCCATGTTTGAAGGTAACTTCTGAACTATGGAAACCAATTATGTATACCAACTCAAACGCGGCATTTGTCAGAACTGGGTTACAAGTCTCAATGGCTGTGACTCGGGAAGACGAAAGCTTGAAGGGTTGCTGGGTAGACCTGGCATCTATTAATACTCTACCAGGGCTTCCAATGTTCAGGCTCCATCTCCACTTCTGGTACCAGACTGGGTAGAAACCAGCTCTGCCATTCACAGCTAAGAAACCTCAGACAGATCCATCTCTCCCTTGCAACACTAGTGTGTTTGTCTGTTAGATGGTCATTTTCTAGCATGGAGGATTGCTGTCAGCTCACTGCAGGGTTTTAAGTTCTTATTATCACAGCACTATGCTTCTGAGTTAGGGCACTTGGCCTTCGTGAAACTCAACACAATAACAATAAATAAAAACTAAGTGCCGGAGGTCACAGCCTGAGAGCAAACTCCAGGGCTCATAGCATTCACTGATCTGCAATTCCTGTCTTTCTTTTCTTTTCCCCAGTCCCTCTTTTATCTCCAAAATTCTCAAATACAGTCACAATTTTGTTGGTTTCTTGTTTTGGTTTTTCCTTAAAATTATTAGAAAATGGCTCTCTAAGCCTGAGTAAGTGTATTGGATTTTCCTTGCCTAAGTTTCCTTGCTGGTAAATTGAGAAGACAAGAGCTGATGGTTTCTTCAGTTAACCCCATGCCAAGATGACATGGAGAGGCAGCCTACTTCTCTCTGCAACACAGCGGCCCCATGCCTTCAGCTTCCCCACACTCAGACAGATCTTTGGCAAAGAGACTGAGAATTTTCCAAGTGCAGAGCTTGCCACTCTCTGCTGAGCTTCTTGAGTCTGGAAAGTTTGAACAGACGCCTCTCAGTTTTTACCTCATTATCTAAATTTATTTGATAACATGGACGTGAAATCTTTTGTTCAAAAGGGAATTAATAGAAGGCTGAACAGAAACTGTTTTCAAGTGGAGTTAGTTGATTTTCTCATCCCTCTGAGAAGCTCTGATGGGGGCGTGTGTGTGTGTGTGTGTGTGTGTGTGTGTGTGTGTGTGTAACAATTTTTTCAATCGGTTTTCTGGTTCCTGTTTTAAATACATTTTGTCACATATTTGTTCCATCTTGATAGCCAATGCATCAAGATCTTACTTCTTAAGTCTGCCAACACCACTACCTCGTTAGTTTCTAGGGAACTGGAGTGTTATGGTTTGGATCTGAAGTACCCCTCCCCCACAGGCCTGTGTTTTGAATACTTGGATCTCAGCTGATGGCTTTGTTGCAAGATGTTTGGAAACTTTTGCAAAAAGTTTGGATTCTAGCTGGAAGAAGTAAGTCAGCAGGTCCTTGGAGTATTGTTCCTGGCTTCTTCTCGCCTCTTCCTTGCCACTCTCTTCCTGACAGGAGAAAGAGGATTTCCTCAGTACACATTCTTGTGTGTTCTGCTCAACTCACAGAACCCAGGAGCCAAGGGCTGTACACTGAATCCTCTGGAGAACATAACCCAAACTAAATCCGGCTTTTGTTGTTGTTGTTGTTGTTGTTTAGCTAGGTTTTGGTCACACTGACCAACTATGGATTTAGCCAACTATGGATTAAGAGCAGATATTATGAAATAGGGTCAACATTATGGTGGCCTTGAGGTGAAATAGGCATCACTCTTAAGGAAGTTCAAGTCCCGCTCTCTAGGATCCCATCAAGCTGCAGAGCTGAACTACAATCCTTGTAGAAACTGAGCATGGACTCAAACCACACAGCAGTGAGTCATATTAATAGCTACTAGGTGGATGAGGATATGCCTCTAAGACTCATCCTGTAATGGGCTTATGACATTATTTCATATTAGTGTGAAAGGCTGTAGACATAGAAAGGCTAGAGACAAGACAGGGAACTTTTCCATGAGTTGGAATGGGTCTGCCTTGGGTTGGAAGCTGCCTCTCTGGAAAGTTGGGTGGGAAACTAAAGCTAAAATAACACTACAAGTATCTGGTAGATGTAACAATTCAGTAGTTTCCTTTTGTTGAATTTTTGGGGAACTCAAGTTGGTAAGGTTGGCATTTATGAACAATAGGCCTCTTCAGTTCTCTGTGGCAGGCCATTCGCTCTCTGCTTTCTGCTGTATTTTGATAAGAACAGTTGGGACTTAGTCTACCACCTATGAGATAGTGACTGTGAGATGATGTTCACAGAGAACCTCTAAAATGCACTCGTTTTACATAACAAATTTTGTATAAATGGGTTCACAATTTGATAGCCTTTCCCATACTGTCTGTGCTCTTAAATCAAACTGAGTTTTGTAGTTGACATATGCGTTTAAAAAAATATATTCAGCCACATTCCATCTTTTATTGGGTGTATATATTTCACATGATTATTGATATGGAAAGATTCCTTGTTTCCATTTTACTCATTGCTTTCTGCCTGACATTAGTTCTTTTGTTCTTTTTCCCCTCTTTTGTTGTCTTTTGTGATTAATTTTTACAGTCTGGTATTATTTTTACAGTCTGGTATTTTTTCATTTTGCTTTGTATAATTTCTGTACACATTTTCTTTTTGGTTACCATGAAAAATTTTACATATTTTTGAAGGTTTTTTTGTTTGTTTGTGTTTTGTTTTTTGAGACAGGGTTTCTCTGTGTAACAGTCCTGGCTGTCCTAAAACTCACTTTGTAGACCAGGCTGGCCTTAGACTTATTGAGATCATCCTGCCTCTACCTCCCAAGTGCTGGGATTAAAGGCATTCAATATCACCACCCAGCCATTTTTTATCATGTTATTATAACCACCTATTTTAATTGTGTCCAAACTCCACACTTTTCCCTCAAGATACAATATATCTCACATTGTATACCTATGCATAGTATATGTCATCATCTTATCATTCAGTTATAGTTATTATAGTATTTTGTTTACTTTTTATGTTGGAATTAAATATGATTTACCTACTACTTGCATAGAATTAAGATATTCTGTATTTGTCTATATGCTTACCTCTGCCCATGCTCAGCATCCTTTTCAAGGCAAGTCTAGTGCTAATGAACTCAGTTTTGTCTGGAAACCTGTTTTTATTTGTCTCTCTTTCTCTCCCTCCTCCCTCTCTCTTTTCTTCCTTCTCTCACTTCCTCTTTTCTTTATCTTTTCACAGAGAACCTTTTCTGGATAGAGTGTTCTTGTTTAGTAGGTTTTTACTCTTTTTCTTTTAGTGCTTTGAATTCATTTTTCTACTCACTTCTGATTTTTATCTGAAATAAAACAAAACTACTTACATCCCTCTAGAGATTCCTTAGGAGTATGCTAAGTCACTTTTCCTCTGATGCTTTCAATTTGCTTATCTTGGGATAATTTTATTGTGACTTATAATGGTATGGTCTTTTAGGTTCCTGTCTTTTGCATTTCTGTAGGTGTTCTGGAATTGGTGTATGTACTCTTTCCCAGGTCTGGGTGTGTTAGCCTTTATTTCTTTGAATAAACTTCTTAGTTCCTTCTCTTCCTCTTCCTCTTCTGGAAATCCCATGGTGTGTATATTGGTCCTCTTACTGGTGTGTTGTAAGATGCTTCATAATTATTTTCTCTTTGCATTATTTTTAAATTTTGTTCTTCTGTATGAATAACTTCCAGTGAAACCCTTGCGTTTTTCTGGCCATCTCTTCTTGATCTAGTCTGAATTTGTAGTTCTGTATGAAATTTTCAGTTTTATTGCATTCTTTGGTTGCTGATATTTCTGTTTGGTAAATCTGAATGATGTCTATACCTTTTATGAAATTCTGCTTTTGTACATGTGTCAATGATGAACATCTTTGCAATAGCTATCTGTTAGACAAATCATACTTTGCTGTTTCATTATGGTCAGCTTCTGAAAATTTGTATTGTTCTGTTGTTTTGGACTCATTTCTTTATTGTTTTTATTTACTAATTATAGATTGTATTCATGTCTATAATTATATAAGACAGTCACTTCTCTTAGTCATGTTAAGAGAAACTTAACAATTAGCCTGATCATCTAGCTAGAGGCTTCTCAAACCCTCATGTCAGTTTCAACTATTTCTTTGTTCATAGGGGATGTGCAGATATCAAATATATATGAGCTCTCATCAAAACAAGCAGAACTAAAGCAAAGTTTCATCATCGTCAGTCATTCCTCTAGCTTTCTGACCCCAGAAAAATAAGTTGGAATCCTAGATTCTTTGCCTGTTTACCTTGTGATAAGGGAGAGGCAGCTTGCTAATTAGTGTTCTAGAAGAATCCATTGTCCTTGCTCTCACTGGCTTCCAGGCAAATAGACTGGTTCCTATTAGTGTTCCAATGCAGGTTTGATGATGAATCTCACTTGTCACCTTGATGAGCTTTAGAACCATGTGGGAGATGGGCCTGTGGGATTCTCTTGAGCAGGAGAGTCGATATGGGAAGACATACACAAAAGGGGTAGTACCATTCTCTGAGGTAGAATCCTGGATTGTAGCATGAAGAGAAAAGACAAGACAAAACAAATAAACAAAAAAGACCTGAGCCAAGCACAAGTATTCACTGTTGTGTTTCCTAACTTTGGATGCAATGAGGCCAACTACCTCAAGTTCTTGCTGGTTTGAACTCCCCACAACAAAAGACTGTGAGCCAACGTGAACCCTTTTCCCTTAAGCTGCTTTGGTCAGGTATTCTATTTCAGTGTCAGGAAAAACAGAAACAATTCCTTTGAGGACACCATGAAAGAGATAGATGACTGGACATGATCCAGGGGAAGCTCTGAACTGGGGTGCACTCCTTACTCAGGGCTAAGGCAGAGTGAGGAACTGGGGTGAATGTGCACATACTAGCTCAATCCTTCTGGTCCTCTTTGATCCCTGGAGAAATATTATAGACTGGGTCACCCCAGTTCTTCAAGACTGTAGATAGAACCTTGCCACTTGCGTTTTAACTGGGAAGTTTGTGTGGCCTAATTCTCTTCCTCCCAGGGGGGAGCTGGAACCTAGAAGTCCCCAGTGGGTCATATGGGATCCGGTACTGTGCTGAGTGAGAAGAAATTACAGCAGTTACAAGGTGGCTCTGCTCGCTATTGCCTGCCCTTCAGGAGCCTCTGAAGATGGTTTTGGAGTTCTTGCTCAGGGGATTGATTTAGTTGCTACTGAATGGCTGGGTCTGTGGTGCAATGAAGAGAAACAGGGCTTCCTACTCTTTCAAGTTCCCAACATCACTCCCTCTTTAGTCTTTTCTTATCCCTGTGCTATGGCCTTGGACACATACTTGCAACCACAGGGAGATCAACTCCCTACAGAGCTTACAAGAGTCCGCTGAGTTCTGGATAAGGCACAGGTTAGCCCATTTGACTAGTCTCTCCAGAGGGTACAAGAAACATGGAAAATGGAAGGCACATGTCTCAAGTTTGTGGATATTGCTGAGATGTTTGTGTGCCATCAGTTTCTGGCATACATATATGCCACAAAAACAATATTTTATCAAGACTGCTTTAAAGCTCCACTTTGCCCATTCCTTGACTTAGTCTGTTCCTCATTTAGTTTTCTGTCCTTATAGTTGTAAACACTGTAAGTCTGGTTACAGGTAATGCCCCTGTTTGCATTTTTGGATTGTTTTTATTTAGAATTGCCTTTCCTCACTTGTGCATGGTGTATGTGTTTGTGTGTTTGTATATGCACATGTATAATGTGTGCTTGTGTATATAGAAGCAAGAAGTTGATATCAGGCATTTTCCTTAATGGAATTCCATCTTAATTTCTGAGAGGGGGGGGTCTCTAGCTGAAGCTGGAGCATGTCAGTTTGCCAAGACTAGGTGGTCTGCGACTTCCAAGGATCTACCTGTCTCTGCCTCTCCAGGCTTGGAGTTAATGGTGTACACGGCCATACCCAGCTTTTTATGTCGGTGCTGGAGGTCCAGGCTCAGTTCCGCATGCTCATGCAGCTAACTGAGCCATCTCCCCATCCCTAACACTTGGTTTCTATGAAAATGTTTCTGTAAATTATGTGCACAAGTAATATTTTTAAGCAATAGTAGTAAGTACATAGTCAAATCAAAATCTTGCCCCGAGAGCCTTTATTTCCCCATAGAAGCAACCCATCATGTCCTTTGAGAAGCATTCTATTGGATTGTAATTTCCATTCAGAAGAAACACTGCTGGGAGGTCATTCTTTTTGCAGCCTGTCCTCTAGTGTCCTGGTTACAAAACATGATGTAAAGCCATAGCCTGGGTCTGAAGGTTGTCACAGATATGTCCTGTTTGGGACATTATAACCAGGGTGGTGGCAGTTTAACTACAGTTCATTTATAGCCGGTATCTATAAGCATTTAGAAACTCAAGCTGCCCTACCCATGTTCTAAGGAAGTAAAAACAGGAACTAAGTCTACTTTTCTGTCCATGGTATACATTTTTTCTCTCATGTCATCTTTTAATGGTGAAAGTAGACTAGATCTCATTTTATCATAGAACTTCATAACCACCCAATTTGTAACATCCTAAGGAGGTGACACCTTCACCTCTTCCCATCAAGGGCTCTGCACAGTGGACTCCATATGGGTGGGTCCCCAGGAGATTCTGAAGGGGTGAACTGCTGGATCCTAATAAAAAGAACACCAGACAAAGGCTGGGAAGTAGCCCAAGCTTGTTTCTGTTTGGAAGAACATTGTTTTCAGCTGCAGAGCATGTGGCATTTTGGCCATCAACCAATTTCACTTTGTGTTTTAACTTAAATTGAATCTATAACAGGATTGCTGGCTTTCAGGAGAGGTCACAACACTTGGTATGGAAACATTCCATGTGACTACACTGCTGTAAAGGAAATGGCAATGCACTTCCTCAATGCTGACCCCCCTCTCACAGGGTTACTGCTCACATTGGAAACAGAAGAACAATGGGAACATAATTAATGCCATATTTAGTGAAAAAAAAGCTTAAAGGAAACTTCATAGATCTGGTGGAAACTGCACCCAAAATAGTAAGCAGCAGAGTGCTCATTTTTGGCAGACATGACTTGGTAGCATGGGTTTTTGCAGCTATATACTTCAAATGCCTTTTCAGGTGTGTAGACAGGTCTGATGGTCTTTGTTATGATGAATATTATAAATACGGAAACTGTCATCTGAGAGCTAAATGCTGTGTAGAAATCATTACTGTAATGACCAGATACATAAAGAGAGGAATCCAATGAAAGTGATGCCAGCAGTGTGTAGTTTAGGGTAACTTAAAAGGCAGCAATCTGGGGACCCTGGGCTAAATTGTGGTCAATGAGCTTTTCTTCATTTGATCTGACATATGCTAAGAATAGTTTCTTTTTTAAATTTTTTAAAAAAATGATTTGAAATAGAAAAAATCTTTCAGCACATAAAATTATATGAAATTTACATTTTGATGTCCACTGATAACATTTATTGTACCTCGGCCATACTCGCTTGTGTATGGAGTACCTATGGTGTCAAAAGCAGAGTTGAGCTGCTGCAGCAGAAACCACATGGCCTTGCAAAGCCTCCTGGCTCCTCCCACAAAAGAGTCCACTTATCTCCTAAAAATGGACATCTTTTAGTAATGGACAAAGATTAGGGGTAAGAATTCCAACCTCTTTCCATTTTTCACCCACTTTCAGCTTTCTGGTCTAATGGGAAACATATTGGTGTTTAGTTATCCAAAATATTTCTGAGGAAGAAACAACTTTCTAACTTCTGACTATATTTTCTTGCAGAAACATGTGGAATCCACTCAAAATACATGAGAGCAATGTATCCTACCAAAACCTTCCCAAATCACTATACTATTGTCACGGTAAGTGCTTGGCCTTGGTGGAAAGTTGATGCCGTAGGCAGGAAACTGACTATATTACACAAAAATATTGAGCAAGAACTGGGCAAGCTTGTGCCATGTTCTTCATAAGAACACGTGTAATTGTACATGACTGAATGCAGGTTGGAAAGGCATGGTTCAGTGTGAGGTCAATAGAGCACCATGAGGCATTCTCAACCAAAACTGCCTAGCATTAGGCTAACTCACCTTTGTGAGATCATGGCAACCTCTGTCATGTGAGAAATACCATTCTCCTGGACTTTTTGATTGCCCTTTACTTAATTGAAGGTCAGCTGGAAACAGTAGGCAATGTATAAGGACAGGCATTTCTATGTGGAAAAATGTAGTCTCTTCCGTTTTTTTTCATGATTTTTACTTGATAGAATTTTGTTTCATAAGTGGACTCATTCTAGTGACATTTTTAAAAAGAGTAACAACCAAAGCAAATGGATTCTCCTCAGTAAATGAAAAAAAGGTAACAAAGAGTTACTAAGCACACAAGACTTGTGTTAGTTACTTTGTTCATTGCTGTGACAGAATACCTGATGCAATTGAAGCAAGCAAGACAAGGCTTATTCTGAAGCACATTTTGAGGGGATACAGTCCACCATGGTGGAAGGCATGGTGCCAGGAGGGGGAGACCAGTTG